AGCACCATTTTAGTGCTCTACATTAATCTTGTTGATAGTAAAAGTTCCTCACAAACTCAAACTTCATTGCACACATTCCATTGGAAATGTCCTAAATCTTTCTTTCGCATTTCCCTGCAACAGCTGTTTCTTTTAGGGAATATGTTCTCTCAACAGTCACCCCATTTACAGAGGGATTTATTTTGCTTATTGATCAAATGGTTAAATTTGGCTTTCTGAGGATTTGTTCCCATACTCGACAGATCTTCACAGGTTCCCTGACTTGCAGAGGTGTTTGTTACTTTAATTTTTCAGCATAGGGGCAGTTCTGCTGTGTTTGTACTCGAAAAAAAGATAAATCCAAACAGCAAACAGGGACTCCCTTTCCCCCTGCACAAAATGTATGTAAAGAATCGGAACTGAGCAAGTGATGCAAGCTAGAAAATGGCCAGACAGCATTTTCCCTTTGTTACTATTCAGCATCACAAAGCACAGGTTTTGTGAGTAAGGTGTTACCAGTCATGGGTTAATATCAGCATTTCACTTGCAAGGAAAAATGAAGCTGAAGAGAAGAAAACAGTGTATAAAACTGAGGAGGAGTTGCTGGTGGTATGGTCTGACAGAGAAGGAAGCAGATAAGCAACTTCTTAGAATGCTCTAGTAAAATTCAGCCAGAAAGGAACACAGCCTCTCACCAATAGATGGGGCAAAGCAACCAAAAAAAAGGGACCTGCAGATTCACTTCGTTCCCATGATCTGCTTCGTTGCATCTCAGAACAGACATGGAGTCATCCCACAAACAACAGCAGCATTTGTAGAGTGACTCAAACATGACCACAACTTTTAAATCCCCAGAAAGATGTGCCCTGGGAGGCACCAATGCTCTTGACATACTTCCTGGGGAGCCCTGCATCAGCTTCTGGAGATGTTGGTTCAGCTGCTCTTGCATAAGGATTCTACAGTAAAGGAGCTTTAGTCTCATCAGGGGACATCTGGTCAAGGCCATCCATCACTTGAAAAAGGCTTTGTCATTCAAAGAAAAAATTAACAGTCCTAATTAGCCCAGCACAAGAGAAAAGACCACACTGCAGACACAACTAGATGCAGTGAACTCAGACACCAGGGGCCTGGACGTTCTGCTTGGACCTGCTCCACCTCTGCAAGGATGGCACTTGTGAGAAGTCCCACAGAAGGTATGGGGTCAGAGAAGGGTCTTCCATGAAGAGTGGGTACAGTACTAGCAGAGAAAGCAAAGGTACCTTTAGAAAAACCACAACAAACTGATTCAGAGTGAACTATGCAGGGAAAAAAGTGCAGAATTCATCTGTGCAGACTTTCCTTGGCAACTCCATTAGTTCCTCCCTAACAGCCTAATTTTGTTCTCTCCCCCTTTGCCAATAACTAAACCAGCTCCCACCATCAAACACATCTTCTCTATGGCCCTATCAAGAGATTAAAAATGCCAGCCAGGACTCTGCCTCAGCCCAAGCATCTCCAACTATGATCCAAGCCATCCCACACCGTGCAGACAGGGGTCAATGTGGCTTAAGCAAAGTCTCACCCAAGCATCTATTAGCAACCAGCATAATTCTTGAAGCATGAGGTCCAATGTCCTCCTAATCCCAACTATTTCTCCTTCTAACTCTTAACATTCTCGCTATCCAAGACAATTCCTAATTATCTTTTTAAAGTTCCTATATTCTGGACTGCAATAAACTTGGCAAACATAAGCCTGAAAATTGAACAATACTGATCCTTACCCTAAATTGCCACTAATAATTCATTTCCCTTGCTCTCCATGAGAGCAAACATAGTATCATAGAATAATTTAGGCTGAAGGGACCTTTAAAGACCATCTAGTTCCAACCCCCTGCCATGGGCAGGGACACATTACATTAGACCAGGTTGCTACAAGACCCAACTAACCTGGCCTTGAATGTTTGCAGGGATGGGACATTTACCAGCTCTCTGGACAACCTGGTCCAGTGTTTCACCACCTTCATTGTAAAAAATGTCCTTCACATATCTAGTCTGAATCTACCTTCTCACAGTTTAAAACCATTATCCCTTGTCCTATCACTGCAGGTCCTGCTAAAAAGTTTATCCCAATCTTTCTTATAGGTACCCTTAAGTACTGAAAGGCCACAATAGGGTCTCTCTTCTCCAGGCTGAGCAGCCCCAACTCCCTCAGCCTGTCTCCATAGCAGAGCTGCTCCAGACCTCTGATCATCTTTGTGACCTCCTCTGGACTTGCTCCAAAAGCTCCATGTCTTTCCTGTGCCGAGGGCTCCAGAGCTAGACACTACATGTTGCACCAACAAATGTTTACCCCCTAATGGAAAGTTCTTCTGAAAAAAGCCTCTCTGAGATGGATGTAGAAAGAGCAGTTTTTCATAATGACCACCAGTCATCCCTGGGGGATGCATGGGATGCTGACAGCCTCCTTCAGCTGACTCTGCACACCAGCACATTTATTGTCCTACCAGATTTCTTGCTTCTATGGCCTGGGCTACAGCAAGTCACTGGAGCTCAGAGGAATATAAAAGCTCAATCACATGACTGTTGCAGAAATAGATCATACATGTCATTTACACAGCCCTCCCTAGTGCTACTGTCCAGAACAAATGAGTTTCACTTGTATTTCAATTTGTTTTTGCAGCCCTTCTCCTAGCTTCTGAGTACACATCAGAGCAAGGACTATTCTTTCTGAGTATTTTAAAATGACCAAACTGACAGCATTAATTTACAATTAAAAAAAGAAAAATAACCACCAGCCACAGGACAGCTTATAATGCTTAACACCAAATCTCACATCATCTGTTTTATTTGCTTCCCTTTTGTAATTGAATCCAGATTGAAGTCCTTGATTTTACTCATCACATGTTTCAGTGATCATTTGATGAATTACACAGATGAGAATCCCTGTCCCAGATTCAATCCCCAGTGTTGTCACTTTAAAACTCTGATTTAGAAGAAAACAATAATGGAGAGTTTTTCTACTGGCTGATAAAGACTGATGTGTGCTACCTACACACTGAAGCAAAAACTGACAGATGAAAAATTTATTCTAAAACAGTCCTACACAAATTCTGTTTGGAAACAAATGTAAAACATGGATCTTTTATAAAAATGTTTAAATCAGAGTATTTTCAAACTGCTGCTTTGAGAAAGCAAACAAACACATTTTCAAATGTTCACTAAAAACCAGTGTGTAGTGGGGGGTGTGTGTTGTGAGGTGGGACCTCTTTAAAAATGTTGGGGGGGTGGATTTTTTCAGACTTGTGTTTCATCCATCTCCATTCCTTAGACAATGGGATGTAGGGACAGTTCTCAGGAAAGAAATCTGACACTGTCCATATTGTAGGAACAGCTGTTCCTGTTCTCCAGGATCCCCTGAAGGATGGTCTCTTCTTCCAGTGTCTATTTTGCTGAAAGACAGGCTAGGAAAGGCAGAGCTATTAAGACTCAGGTTCTGTGCTCCCTAAGGAAGCTCTGAAAAGGAACAAAAACTTTTGCCTCTGACTCCATCAGTAAACTGCTTGGCCTAAATGTCTTTTCCATGAAAGAAGGGATGGCTATGCTTTA